TAAAATTTTGCGAGTTAAAAATCAACTCCAAAAGAGAGTTAATTTTATAACTTGCTATTTTTGCTGTGTAAATTATAACTATATCTTCGTTTTAACTCTCAAATGGGTGAAACTTTTATGGCTGGATTCACCGTTACATGCCTAGAATCGCCCACCTTGGCCATCCCTACTGAGGCCCACCTAGAAGCTACTGACATCGTCGCTAAATGACTTCTGTTTTGGGTCAACACAAAAAATAAATTGCTTGTTCGCCTTCTTTCGTTTCAGATTCGTACGAAACTAAATTCCCCGTGCAGAAATTAAAATGTGGGCCTGATAGGGTACTGGACAGTTTTCCCGATCTCTGGTGTGGCTCTGGGTAGAGAAACTGACCAGTGCCCGACTAGTGTGTGACGCTGTTCCCGACCAATGCCCTACTTAGGGAAAAACTGGTCAGGGCCTCGTCAGTTTTTCTTAAAATTGCCCTATTTTGTAAGGCTAATTTTATTCAAAAGAAATTACAATAAAATTACTGTAATTAAAAATATTATTATATTAGAAACATAATGAACATATTCATTATATATACAACATATTTATACATAACATAATAAGGTATTATAGTCATATTTTGACTATTTTAAAAGTGAAAATGATAAAAATAATATAATTTTAAGAATAGAAAAACTTAAAAATTTTTGAAAAATATAATTTTTGGTTTTATGATTAATTCATTTTTCTTTTGGAGGTTGTCGCTCCTTTCTGCCTCCTTAATTTTATAATATTAATAAAGGTTATAATTTTTGATTTCAAATGTATAAGTAATTATTAATATTTATTTAATAAATATTTTATTCAAATTTATTAATTATGTTTAAAAAATAGTTATTAAATATTGAAGGTGTTAAATTTAACAATCTCTCCGAATAATTTTCTCACTTTAAGCTAATATAATATAAAATAATTATTATTATTAAAATAATATATATATATATATATATATATATATATATATATATATATATATATATATATACCCGTGCAGAAATTTTGACCGGGGCCAGGTCGGGGCCAGATCGGGACAAACCGGGCCCCGATCTGACAACCCGACCTGGCCCCGGCCTGGTTGAAACACTAAAACCGACCGGGGCCATGGCACTTTGCCCGATCTGGCCGCCCTGTCGGGGCCATGGAATTTCCCCCGATCTTTTCGCTACCTAGGTAGAAATCTAATACTGACTGCATTTTATTATATTAAAGCTCGTTATTTGATTATTAAAGCATGGGGAGTATTTACTTCAATATTAATAATTATTATTAATATTTTTGTAGTAAATAAAATTTTATGAGTGTCATTAAAAATGTAAATAATTATTACAATTGCTTTTATTGAACTAAGTTTTAAAAAAAATATTTTTCTTATTTTCTTTCATTAATTTAGACAGACTATCCTTATTTAAATTAATGCCTAATTTATTATTATTATTATTGTTAATAATTATTTAAACCTATACTTTATGTAACATTATTAAGAATTATACACAAAACACTTAAAACTAAGACGGAAAAATATCGCACGCACGGGGGATCGAACCCTAGACCTCGAGGACGCAAGTCGAATAGACATACCGCATAGCCACGCAAGCTTGGAAGCGACCTCGCTTAAACTTCCTTTTGAATCATGGGACCGTTATATACAGTGTTATCATAATAAATTGACTGTATCATATTTATTTATAGAAAAATTATTAAAAATGTATGTTATATATATATATATATATATATATATATATATATATATATATATATAAATTAATATGTTTATCATAAAAATATGGTAAAAATTATTAATTTAATTATTTATTCTCTATTATTTATAATTTAACTATTTTTTAAAATAATAAAAAATTTTTTATTATTAATAATTCACAATAATACTAAAAATTATTAATTAATAGTAATTTATTTTTTTGCCTTAAACATGGAATTTCAATTTAAGGGTGAAAAATAAATAAGAGTTTTTAAGAGTTATAAATGTCAAAAATAATATGTTAATATTATAACCACAAATAAATTAAACATTTTAGGCAATATTTTTGGTTATCTTCATGATAACATCGACAAATGGTTCACCCTCGACAATTGGTGCGTTTGTCCTATTGTTTTAAATTAAAGGAGAATAAATTCTTAAGACATCCCTCGATGCCAATTTTTGAGTTTTTAATTGTTTAAAATTTTTATTTTCAAATTTCAATCAAAGTTAACAAATTAACACAATTTTTTAAAAACGGACGTTTATTTTCTTATTCCGTTACTGCACATGCTCTAAATCAGTTCAAATTAATCCAATATTACCAGCAGACAATTAAAAATCCATAAAGTAATATATTTCAATTATTATAAACAACATTAATTAACAAATAGTTAACTTTGATTCCTCTCCAATAAAAAAATTTTTTTTCACATTTTCTTTTTAATTTTAGTTTATTTGTATAATATTTTTCCTTTATGATTAAAAAATAACTTATTTAAATTGTTATAAACAATATTAATTAACAAATAGTTAACTTATGATCCTGTCCAACAAAAAATTTTTGTTACAAATTTTCTTTTTTACTTAGGTTCATTTAAATTTTTGCTTATAATATAACTTATATTTAAATATTTAATATTATATATCCGTGGTCTTTTAACATTATCTAAATAAAAAAGTAAACGTGAAAAAAAAATTTTTTGTGGAAAGGAACAAAAATGAACTATTTGTTAATTAATATTATTTGTAACAATTTAAATAAGTTATTTTTTAAACAAAAAGGACACATATTTTTAAAATTAACTTAAATTAAAAAGTAGACGTGAAAAAAAATTTTTTTTGTGGACAGGAACATAAGTTACATAATTATTTGTTATTTAATATTGTTTATAACAATTTAAATAACTTATTTAATAATCAAAAAGGACAAATATTCTTTAAATGAACTTAAATTAAAAAGAAAAGGTGAAAAAAAAACATTTTTTAGTGGAGAGAAATCAAAGTTAACTATTTGTTAATTAATATTGTTTATAACAATTGATATAAATTGATTTCTATTTTATTGATTGTGATGTGGTGGTCAGAGATCTCGGTGGTCATATTGTATTAATTTGAACTGATTCAGATCATATGCAGCAACGGAATAAGAAAATAAGCCTCCTTTTTTGAAAAATTGTATTAATTTGTTAACTTTGATTGAAAATAAAAATTATAAACAATTAAGAACTAAAAAATTGGCCTTGAGGGATGTCTTAAGAATTTATTCGCCTTTAATTTAAAATAAAGAATACTGAAACTGGTTAAAAATTGTAGGCTGTAGACAGTTTTGAAAAGTAAATTTTAAAAAAAATCCCATTGTGCGCTGTTTGTAGATCCTTGGGCAAGCCCGGCCTGGTCCTGGTCGGGGCCACGAAGTCGGGGCCAGATCATGAAAACCCGACCGGGGCCAGGGCGGTAATCGGGAACAAAAGTGGCGATTTCTGCACGGGTATACAAACCAAATGATAAATTCATCCTATAAATTAATAATTATTAAAATTCATTAAGTATAATTTATTAATAATTGTTTATTAATTATTATTTTTTAAATTCATAATTTTTATTTTTAAATAAATGTATAATAATTAATTATTTAATAACTATTATTATTCGTTATTTATAATTTAGTTGTTATTATTAATAAATAAACTTTATTATAATATTGTACTTAAAGAAAAAAAATTATATGTATTTTCGTTTTTTAAATATATTACCATAATTATTTTGTAAAGTGTTTTAAAGGAACACGCTTTTTTAACTTAAATAACTGTTTTAAAAAAGTTAATTTTAAAAAATTAAATTTATTTACATGCTTTTAAAACGAGGAAAACTGTCGAGGCCCTGATCAGAGCCATATTTCATATCTAGTGAACACCCCACTTAGGGTTTTGGCCAGAATTTCTGGTCAAACCCATAAGATAAAAAAATTCTTAAAAATTTAGTATAATTACTCTGTTTAATTAATTTCTTCAATTGTTTATAATTTTATTATGGGAACTAATTTAAAAAACTTAATTCATTTACACTTTATTCAAACGAGGAAAACTGTCGAGGCCCTGATCAGAGCCCTATTTAATATCTAGTGAACACCTCACTTGGGGTTTTGGCCAGGAATCCTAGTCAAACCCCTAAAATAAAAAAATTATTAAATAACTAAAATAATGATTGCCTTTCATTGTTAATAGCTTCTACAACAAAATGGAATTCTAAAAACTTTATTAAAAAAAAAAAAATTTAATAGGGAAAACTGTCGAGGCCCCGACCAGAACCCTGTTTTAAATAGGGCAAAGTGGGGCATTTTCTGCACGGGTCGTTTGCAGATACATTTTTTCATGTCATATAATTACAAATCCAAAATCACAAAAGAAATTAGATTTCGTTCTAACGGAAGTAAATTTAATCGAATCTGAATTTTGTAGCGTCTGCATGCGCAGATGAATTTTGGACCTGATAAAAATGAAACTACATATGTCATTGAAAAAATTGTTTGTAAATCTAAACTTATATTTTATCCGAAACATGTTTAATTCTTTGAAACAAGAAATCTGGTCAAAAAATAACTTTAACCGAAACGTTTTCTTCCCTAAAAGTAATGTTTTATCATCCCAAAGTGAAGATGTCTTGCGGGAAGTGCAGAAATAAGAAAAATGAAACCATTCCAATCCATCATCGTAAGTTGTCCGTCGGAGCGATGAGAGCAAAATTGGAGTTGAATATTGGTGAGATAGTCGAAGGTTGCGTGGTAGAGGTAGAAGGTTGCTGACGGGAGCACACACAATAAAGGGGAACCTAGAATACCTCTTTTTAATGGGCAGGTTCCACAGCTCAGAAGTAGGTGGAGCTTATCAGGAACACGGTTACCCGAGTGAGGGCTATGTGGGCAGTTCCATTGAAGTTACCACCTCATTTCTCTCTACTTCATCATTCGCCGCTTGTGGCGCTATTCCCAGCCAACAAACTATACTCGTCCTGTCGTTCCCTCACTCCGCTTCGTGATCCGAGCTGAGTCTGTACGACGCAGAGCGTGTACGTGACAAAAAGCAAAGGTGGAGCACATGCGCCTTGTTCCACTCGTTCCGTCGTTCCGCTTAATCCGTTCGTTGTCCTGCGTGCCGGTCAGGATTCAATTTTAACCTGTAGACACATTGTCCTCTTACAAGCAGGTTGCAATGATTTAAAAAAGATAAAACGCGCGTGAAACTCAGTGCGGTGACAACTTGGCTTTTTCAGTGTTGTGCTTCCAATGTCCGTCGGGGAAATTTTTTTTGTTTCTTATAAAAAAATGAGTGCTTTTATTACTGTTAATCAGTGATCCAAACTTCTCGAAATACAAAAAGTTTCCTTTATGACTGAAACGTCATTTAGAAAGTGATAAAAAATATGACAATCTTCCATGTTTCCAAAAGTTAATTCAAAAACTCTTGATTGCAGATTGTCGGTGTAAATAAATGTTCATCCTTAGGAATCTGCGAATCTTGTTGAAGGGAGTCACAGCAAGTGGTTTTCATACTAGTTTTTGTTCGAAATGTGTGTGGTCAGTATTAAGTTTAAAGTGTGTTGAATGCTTGATTCTTGATCACTTGCATTCTGGTCAAACTTAATCCTTTCACGAATCAAATCTAAATTGTATGACACTGATCGAGTATGTACTCTTTCATCAAATGCAATTTCACTTCCAAGTTAATTGCTCAATTCTCCATATTATTTTATCTCCAATCTTGCCCATTGTCAGTAATGATCATATTTATCAATAGAAAAATGTACTGATAGAATGGTCATTCAAAGCATTGATTAATGAAGAAATACTGATTAGAAATCAGGATTGATTTATTAGCAATTATCGATCCGGCTACTGAACAAGTTTAATCATTATTGAATTCGATCCCTGATAGAAAACAACTATCGTCAAGGGGAAATTCAGAAGCAAAATTTGATTTTGGAGAAGAAATCGATTGAGCAATTTTGAGAGGAGGAAAGAAATGTTGAGTGATAAGTGCCTGATGTAAAACTGAATGTTTTTTGAGAAGACGGTGAATAGGAACTGATGATAGTGATGAGTAGTAGAAATATAAAAGTGTAGGGAAGAGTGTAAATTGTGAAATTGGATTTAAAGGGTGTGTATATATTGTTGGCTGAGAGAAAAAGGAAAGATAAGGGAGGAGAGAGGATTGAGAGGAAGAAGAGGGCAAAGGGCGACACGTAGGTTGCGCGGCGGACGCCATCTCCGCGTTACCGGCATCCAGGTCCCCAGGTCCCACCCTAGCTGCCTCGACCTCTTCTCGCACCTTCAGCGGGAACCACCCCGCGACAGCAGCCACCCTGATGGGAGTGTATGAGGAGCGCGCCCCTCCTACCACCGGCATGCACTGGGTGAGTGTCATCTGGCATCATTTTCTCAAGTATTTCATAGATAATGTCTCGTTTTCTGATCTCATTAACGACTCAAAGAAAATGATAATAATTATGATTCTATAACTATTATTGAATCTGTGTCCAATGATTTATAGACTAGCATCTAATTATTAATTTATCAACTTACCAAATAAATCAGTGTTCTATAATTTTTCAACAATTATCGAATCAGTGTTCACTAATTTTTTAAATATCGCCGAATTAGTAATTCACTAATTTCACCAATTGGATTAGTGTTCAATAATTGATAATTCTAGAATCATTCTAATCTTTACACTAAACCTGTATATTTTTTGGACATTATTCTCTGTTCCTAATTTTCTAAATACGTTCTGCATTTATCATGATGATGATAATGAGGATGATTCTAATGATGGTGATGACTAATTGACATAAAAACTGTTCTGTTTTGGGTTGGAGTCAAAGGCTAATTTAGTATTAGATTTAGTTTATGCATAATGGTTTTATCAGCCATTTTTTATATCAAAATTTCACTTTGTCGCACTTTTTCGCCAATATGAAAAATACTTTTACAAAATTTAATATATATTCTCTCTCCATGTGCTGGTAGTTCAGAAGCACATGTGTTATTATATATGTTATCCCATGATAATAATTATATCTTTATTGTAATATTGTATACTTTTATTCTATATTTTTTATCAATAAAATGCGGTAATGGTTAATTGATTCAATAAAAGAAGATATTTTATTTGCTGCGTGTATTTAATTTTGAGACATAGATTTTATTAGCATACAGATTTACTTTCGAAATTAGATTTTACTACCTTACAGAATATTAGAGTTATAGTTTTAGAATATAAAAGTTTTATTAGTATACAAATTTACTTTAACATTTTGTATAGTACTACAGAATATCGCAAAATATGCTACAAATTCTATGGCTTTTGCATCTTAATCAATAATTTCTATGATTTTGACAGAACCAGTTATTGCTGTTGACTCAGAAGCGCAGATATTTCTAAGGTTGATGTAATCTTTTCTTAATTTGAACCAGTGATATATCTATAAACCACTGATTTAGCAGTAGTTATACTGATTTAAATTCAGAGAATACTTTTTCAATTATTACAGATTACTTTCTGAGAAATGAATGAAAAATAAATGTAATTGTCATTATATATTATACAAGAAATATAGAGAAGTATACTTTGCTATACCTGTTAAAGAAAGGATATATAATTCTTTTTCTATATTTTTTAAAAATATTTCTGGTTGTTTTAACTAGAATATCGTGTTAAATATACCCTAATCAGAAATTTTTTTTTCAATATACCTATAAGAAATGAGTTAGTTTTGTTTTTGTATAAGCTTCTACAGAGGTTGTCCAGCGGTCAGGGAAGTAAGGGAATTTTTTTGGCCAGGCCCCTCATAGCACTAGATATCCTAGGATATTATGGAAATATCCCGTGGATATCCTAGGGATGTCTTAGAGATATCCAACTGATAATATAAGGATATCCTAGAGACCGGCGGCATGCACATCCTCAGGATATCTAAGGATATCCATAAGTTATTCTCTGGACACCCAAAACATACCCCTAGTATATCCCGAGATATTACAAAATATTCTTAGGATATCCCTAAGATATTCTAAGACATCCCTAGGTTATCCATAGAATATCCGTTCATTAATCCTAAGATATTCATCGAATATCATCACGATATACATATAGTAACTTTATAAATTAAAATACTATTATACATACATAATAATTGATTTATTTATTTTCAAAAATATACGGACAATGCCTATTCGTACTGATTACTATATAAAACTAACAAAAATAATACAAAAAAAATTTAATTTAATACATAATAATAATTTGCTATTCCGTGAACAAAAAGTGTCGTCTTTTGTTTTTCTATATATAATAATTAATGTTTTGATGACAGATATGTTTTAAAGTGTTGTTTCTATTTTTGTGGTTAAAAATTAGGGGCGCATGACTTCCTCCAAATTCTACTTTATACAATTATAATTGTTATTTAGAATTTTTAAATTTATAAACACCAATTACTCTTAAGGTGAGTGGCTATAATTTAATGACAACATTATTACAATTTTTTAAATTTTAATTTTTAAATACAATCGTTAAAAATATAATATTTATTTCTCATAATTTTTATGAATTCTTTTTATTTATTTGAAATAATGATGGTTTTATAGGATATTTTTCAAATAACATAAATTTAAATATACGCGAAATAATATTTTACATAATTTTAATTTAATGGAAGATATAATTTTTTATAATCTCTATTGCATATAATCAACAATAGATTTTCATTAATTTATAGATTCTACGAATTACGTATTCAGTGACATAAATTAAAAACTAAGCAATAATGTTAGCATTAAATTTTAGATATCTACCTTTTGAGTAAATAATAATTATAAAGTTTAAAATTCCATGAAATAACAATTATATAGAGTTAAATTTGGGGAGAGTCATACGTCCCTAAATATTAACAATTTAAGGAATTAAAAATTTGTAATAATAATTTTTTTGTTCCCGGTTTAAATAAATCTTTTGGCGAGTTTCTTAAAATTTTTTGAAAATAATGTTTTTTTAATAATTTAAATTGAACATTTGATTATTTAATTTTATTAAAATGTAATTGATAATAATTGAATTTCTGCAAAGAATTTTACTATTTATGAAAGTAATTGAATACTTCCAAAGAATGTTATTATTTATGAAAGTATAATTGAATGTTTGCGTAGAATTTTATTAAAATTTTTGAAAAAATGAATTGTATAGAACAATTTAATTATTTATAAAAATAATTAAAATTTTGATAAGAATTTAAACAAATTTTTAAATATAATTGAATTTCTGCGAAGAATTTTATTGCATTTGAAAATAATTGAGTTGTTTTTTAGAATTTTATAGAAATTTATGAAAATAGCTGCGAATTCTAGTAAAGGATTCTTTTTAAAAATATAGTATTCAAAAGAATTTAGTAAATCTAAAGAATTTTGCAACTTACAGAAATAATTAAATTCTTGAGAAAAATTTTTTACTGTTTCTAGAAATAATTGAATTCTTTCGACGAATTTTAATAAAATTTTTAAGAATAATTACATTTTTCCAGGAATTTGATTAAAATTGTCTTAAAAATAATTGAAATTCTGCAATGAGTTTTACTATTTATGAAAATAATTGAATATATTGTGAAGAAATTTTAAAAAATAAAATTATAATTATGGTGACTAACTTCCCCTGATTATTTTCAAAAAATTTAAATAAAATTCTTTAAAAGAATTTTAAACATATCGATATTATAATAATCGATATGTTTCAATTTGTAAAAGAAACACAGAAAAATGTTGTCTCACAAAAATCGAGAATTTATTCTGAAATGGTGAATACGGAAAATTTTTTAGAGAAGTTACAAAAAATTACAATATATACCAATATTAATTAGTAAAAAAGAGAAAACTGAGAGACAATTTGAAATTTTTCGATTGTTGAGTAGTTCAACAATTATTCTATCTAAAGTTCAGAAAGTTTCCATTAAATTCATTATAATTTTTATCGAAAACTCTTAGCACACGGAAAACATTTTTTCAGTCAAAGTTCCCGAACTGTACCTGAACGGTGGATATGAGAAAAAGTTAAGGTCTAATTCTGCATTACACTAAAGATGTCCCTGAATTTTTCAAAAATCTGCCGTGAACTTCGAGAATTTCTCCTGCTCTACACAGTAGATTCCTGAAAAGTTCAAGAATTTCTTTAGTGTATAATGCAGGATTAGACCTCAACTTTTCTCATGTTCTTTTCTCACTGTTCAGGTGTTCAGGTACAGTTCGAGAACTTTCCCTGAAAAATTTTTTCCGTACATTTTCAACCTACGGTTTTGTAGGATTTTCAAAAATTTTTCCGTATCCATAGTTCTGAAATATATTCTTCATTTTATTAATCATGAACATTTTCCCGTATGTACTTTTTCTGTGGTAAGACAGGCAGGTAAATTGCTACCGTGATAATTCTTTAAATCATTCACGCGCGCATCGCGCGCGTAGGATTTTGCTATTTAATAATAATTTTCAATTCCGTGATAAGAAAGTGTCGTCTTTTGTTTTTCTGCAATTAATGTTTTGACAGATGATTTTGGTTGTAAATGTTCCCATGTTTGTGATAACCACTCAAAATTAATCATATACCTAGAGTAAATAATGTCTTTTCCAAATTGATACAAATTGATCAATATGAAGACGTGCCTCTATTCAGCTAAAGTTTAAACTGGTAAATAATGTAATTTTTCCAAGAAATCACTATCATTTTGTAAGTTCATGTAAATTTAATTAAATTATTTAAACTTTGTGTTGATAAAAAGTTTTAAATTATAATATCGAACCATTTTTTTACAATATATTGAATTGGTGAACTGAAGTTTATTTGCCACTTTTGTTTGACAAAAATAAATTGATTAAAGTTACTTAAGTTTTGAAGTTAAAATATTTAATGTATGGTTTTCATAATAAAAATAGTATTTTTTTAAATTAATTTTTCAGAAACTTCACTTCTTTTGGTAAACTCTTGCCCTTCCGATTACGCAGAATCGGGTACTTTGAATTTTTTTCAGAAAAAATGATATACTTATAAATTCTATTAAAAATTGGTTTTCCTTTAATTATCAACATTTGTATGTTTTCAATAAATTTTTCGGATCAATAGTAACAATTATTAGAAACATAGGATTTTAATTTTTTTAGTTTGAATTTTATTACATTTATATAAGCTTAAAAAATGTTTAAGGAATTTTATAAAAAAATTACATGTATTTATCATTTAATAATTGAGTAGACAAAAGGCATGTTTTTATAATATTTTAATTGATCTGTTTAAAGTTGTACTAGAACAAATTTTCATTAAACTTTGTCCAATTTTACGAGTGGGCATCAAAGATTTGATGAAACTTAAAAAAAT